ACACAACATAAAAATGATTAGCAAATTGTTGAGGTTATTGTCATCAGCATTGTCGAGACAAATATGATCAAAACCTTGCAAGAGTTATATAATGAAGGTTGTCGTTGGATCAGACATGGCGACGCTCCATGACCGGGGTCGGCAATCCGGCACCGATTTGCTGGGCTGAGCCGTTACGGCACGGCCTATCCTGGAATGTGGGGTGAACCGCCGTGTATCTGCCAATGGCGTGTTAAGGACCGTTAGCCGGGGCTTCACTCATCAGACCTATGACTGTAAATCCCTTGACTTGGACGTCGCTGATTGTTGAGGTTGGCAGGAAGCTTCGAGTACAAGTATCAGCTTCCCCGTGTCCAGTCGATCCAGAACTTCCTCCTGAGACCTGCTATCAGCATCAGCTCCAACTTCCAAAGCAAACAACCATCCACGCATTTTCGACCCACCGTGATCAAGTCAAACACTCCCCCTTGTCAAGTCCTGTAGTCGATGACTGAACGACGCACCATCAGCCTCCCTACCAAGCTCTCGTCCCAGGAGACGCCTGAATCGTACGGACGGACATTAGAGTCCTACGGTAGTCGCGACAAAGTCGCCAGATCCGAGCGGACTTTAAGCATATACGGCCGCCATAGCAACCAATGGCTCTTTAATGATTTCCAGCTCAGGAAGACTGTGTCAAACTTCTTCCGTAAAGTCAGGAGCAAGAAGCGTCGGGATTCTGACTGACGAAGGTCAACCGTGGCAGGCAAGACGTAGGTGACGATGTGATCACAATCTCAACCAGTCTGGAGCTGCGCTGACGATGTCCTAGGCTCCTGTTCCTTGCATATGGCAGACTGCAGACTAACCAGCCCGTCGGTATTGGCGTAGTCAGAGTCCTGAAGTGGTGACCTGGTTATAAAGGCTGCTGGAATCCAGGCAGTTGGTAATGCTGCGATGATGCTTATTTGGCCGAATCAAACTATCGTACCGCTTTCAGCTGATATGAAGACGTGCTTGTGGGATTTGAAGAATGAATTTATCAACTATCAACAGTTGGATTGGTAGCAGACACTGATGCGAATGAAGTACTCGTCAACCACTCATGGCATGGTGCTATGGCTGGGATGGGTCGCCAAGGTGATCTAGAAGGCTGGGCATGGGCAAGTGTGAATGCGATCCATCGTTTCCAGTAACATAACTGCTGATAGAATGCATCAAGAACACCGAGAAGGGCAATACTCGGCTCTGGGTGTTGGGTGAGAAAAGAGATGAAGTTGGAAGATTGTCCAGGCCGGATGATGTTCAAATGATGCGTTGATGATCCGATTCAGCAGCAGGCCTGGCTAAAGAGTGCCGCGGATCCGGTTTCAGCGCGCGTAACAGTTGCCGAAAGCGCTATTTCCAGCGTATTAGGCTTGGCGGGCCGTGCCGCGCTGCCAGCACATTGTTTGGTTCCACCAGCAATCTCACCACTTTCCCCTTTTCACAGCTGCCATTCGAGCCATTCCTTTGTTCTTTTCATCGGTGATCCTGCATTTCTTCTTCCCTGTCCCTGAATCTTGAAGCCATCCATTCAAAATGTCGCAGCAGCAAGGGTAAGACCAATCCCAACCTGTGGCTCGCTCAGCGCGCTGCGCGAAACTGGGGCCTTGCAGATCGAGCTAACCGGTTTCCCTCTCAGCTACTATCCACCGCCTCAGCCGCCACAGGGCGCTTACTATGACCCCAACCAGCAGTATGCCCAGCAGCCTCCGTACGGCCAGCCGCCTTACGGTCAGCCCCCTTATGGACAGCAGCCCCCTCCCCAGGGTGTAAGTACCACTCCATTACCTCCCCTGTCTTGTATTCCTGTTGCACTCGATTAGGGTATCGAGGCTCGCTTCTAACATGATCCATAGATGTACTACCAGCAGGCACCACCTCAGAAGTCGGACGATGGTCCAGGCTGCTTCACCGGATGGTGAGTCATGGATCTCTTGACGATGGTTCCAGTCGATGCTAACTATTGCTGCAGTCTTGCCGCACTCTGCTGTTGCTGTGCCCTTGATGCCCTTTTCTAAGAGTTAATCCCTATCGTGTTGCCTGAGACGTCATGTACGAGGAAGACGATAAGTCAATGTGTGGTCAAAATTTGGCCCAAATGGAGAGGAGCAGTTCATGCTGAGCATGTTTCTACAGTTGGATTGCACAGGGACTACTCATTGTTGTTGCCTGCAGTTCGTGCTTGTGTTAGAGATGGAGACGGGCAAGGTCCTAGTGATACCGGGGTGATTACAGCGCTTGCCGGTTCTTGCTGAATTTCAGTACTGTTTCCTTTTCTGATTACTTAACAACTCGATGCTTCCAAGCCTAGAGATAAGCTTGTTCCATCCATTTCATCTCGGCACCACTACACCCGTCCCTCCCTCCTCACCTCAACCACCCCATTACTTCCCCCAACAACCGTGAGATTTCGTTGCCATGTTCTTGAACTTTTCCTTGGCGGTAGTACCAAGTCCATTTCACTCTCTGCATCATCACCATTGCCATTCTTCGCACTCTCCTGGACGATAGAAACCTCCACACTCTGCTGTACCCTTATCTCGAGGGGTTCTAGCCCATAGCCCTTCTCCACATCCTCTCCGATGATCTCTTCTTCGTCTGACTGCCGGGGGGCTCGTCTCTTCGAGCCTACCTCGGCAATGGGAGTGGGCGAGTGTTCATGGCCGAGGATGACTTGAGAGAAGAAGGCCTTCAGGGCTGGGATGGAACCGCAGATGATGGCTAGGTCTACTTCGAGATGTGACCACATGCAGATCTCGATACCACTAACTGTACAGTGTGTTAGTGGCGAAATTAGAAAGGGCGAAGTAGGACATGGCTTACTCGCTTGATGTGGAAGGGCGTCATGTAGGTTCACATAGAGGGCCTTCAAGCGGACCTCGGAGACGATCGTCACACTGTCAGGCCAGAGTCAGTCCCAACACCCACCACAGGAGCGTGAGGGAGCAATAACGCACATTAACCCAGCTGAGAACACAGAGCACAAGACTACTCTATGCTTCCTCGCGATCTGGAGCTTAACCAGAAACGGAAAGGGAAGGGCGAGTAGGATGTGGTCGTTGAGCAGGTTGAAGCCGGCGCAGACGTAGTAGACGGTGTTTTTGTCGATGCAGCGTCCTTCAAGTGAGAGATCCCATGCCTTGGCGACCGGGTAGCAGTAGAACATCGACGCCGCGACGCCCATGATGCCGCACACCGCGATCCAGGCGATCACTAGCCATACGATCTTCCTGCAGCCACTGGTGGAGAAGAGGCGTTGGCATTGGAGGGCAATGGAGAGCTTGTAGAAGGTTTGGGCGAAGTTGTAGGTTGCTATTTCTGCGAAGAGGGCCTGGTATGTTAAGGTCAGTTACCATACGTGCTGACAGATGAGGACGCCTTGAACTACTCACGTGGAGGAACGGTCCTAGAGTCTTCAGGTCTGTTATCTCTCGTCCAAGACCAGCTTTGATCTCTACAGCACCTTGTCAGCTCATGGTCCGTCCCTATTCAACTTGCCTACTCACTGAACATGGCAGCAAAGACACCCCCGATAGACACCAGCATAGCCAGAGCCATAAACCAGTCATCCAAGCCGATCTGTCTCACAATGACACCCCTGGTATAGAACCTCAAGCCCAGCACGATCAAAGCCAGCACCGTGGAGACGAACATGAGGACAACCAAGACATGGTTCTTCTCCACGATCTCAATATCGCCAATGTACCACATATCGAGGCGGGTACGGGCCTCCCCGTGAAAGAAGCGTAACACGGAAATAGAGCACAGAGAAAGAGTAGAGCAACATGAACAGGGAAGATGCTACAAAGGAAACTGGGGAGCTCGTGCCGCTGTTGATATACAGCCTCGCATCCCTTGTTCCGAGTCCCGGCTGAAGAACATCATGCTTACTGGGATGGACGACGTGCTCTCGCTTGTTGGTGGGCCAAGAGAGAGGGTGGCGTGAGAAATGGATGAATAGCATGAGGTGCAGGTAGGTCTGGGCAAGCCACATGTTTGTCAAGTTCACGTCCCGCCGTGTCCTCCACCGGATGTGGCTAATGGGCAATGGGTTAGATGAGCAGTAGCAGGACGCCATTCGGCACCGACGTTCATCTCATGCAGGGAAAGCAAACCGTTAACCGATACTCCAAGGACCACCAACGTGCAGCTGCTACTTATAGCATGACGCAGATCCTCTTCACGAATTCGATAGAGCTGAGTTCGGGCAGGCTTTAACGTGAGTCGTTTCGACAGAGTAGGGGAAGGCTAGCAGCTGGACACTACACGGGTGTGTTGGGCCGTCGATCGCAGTATCCTCGACAGACGACTCTCGTCAGGCTCCGTACAGCCATTTATGAATGAGCATGAGCGACTTCCTCATCCGCTGTCCTTGCACGCCGAGCCAGTGTCTCTGAAGAGGACAACGACTGACAAGCATGGCTAAAGCACGAAGGACATCCTCGTCACCCTGAGATGCAGTCAAGTCAGCTCTGGGCGCCCAAGCCTCGACGACCGCTAGCAACTCGATATGACGGCGTAATCTCCAACCTCTTCGAATGACGTTCTCGACTGTAGAATGAATGGCAGAAAAGCGCAATGTTTGCTGTCGCGACCAACGGTTGGAACAAAGGCGTCCAGCGGGGTCATGGGACGTTGGGTATTGAGCTAGATAGCATTTAGTGGCGTCCAAGCGGCTTGGCGCGGTAGCGACGGACCCGGGCCGGAACCGAAGATGCAAGAGACCGCGAAAGCAACCGATGACAAGCATAGAGGCAGCCGGGAATGCGTTTTACAAAAACAAGGAAAAATACCTGTAGGGACCGGCACGGGTTGAGAGCGCAGCCATAGGTTGAGATGGCTCGGCCTAGGGGTCTCCTAGGCCGATGTCTTGTTCACTGCTGGATCGGACATTCAGGACCAATACAATGTAGATGGTTGACAGTCAAATTTTTCTTTATTCAACAAATTACGCAGCTTTATCTTTGTAGCACCAAGGTCCCATAGCTCAGTTGGTTAGAGCGTCGTACTAATACACCTCCTCATAAGATGTCTTGAGTAAATGCGAAGGCCGAGAGTTCAAGCCTCTCTGGGACCATTTCTTTTTATGTCTTTCCCATTTGCCTTTTCACACTTGCCGGTCAGTGTGGCCTGTAACGGAGACAATGTCTACGAAATAAGTCTACAAACCATTTTGCTCTTATATGCTGAGGCCTCATGTCTTTTGAAGAGGGAACTACGAAGACGAGGGCAGGGGAAGGTGGGGCAAGGACAACTCAGCAGGCAGGCACCTCCTGCAGGCTACCTCCAGAGTCCAGGCTACCTCCAGAGTCCAGGCATCCGAGCCGAGATGATCCTCAGTTATCAACTTCTGATCCTCGACGCAAACACCACGCCCTCAACGGCGCGCGTGGTCTGTAATTAGTTCTATACATTATGGGCGCCGTTTTCAACAGCGACTCAGCGTTTGTGTGCGTGCCACAACGCTTATCGAGGACCGAAAATGGCCGATGCTCTCGGCATTGCCTCCAGCGTGATTGCGCTTCTTGAACTGACAACGACGGCGATCCAGTACGTCAAGGATGTCAAAGACGGGTCTTCGGATCGCGCCAGGTTGCGCGATGAGCTTAGGAATACCACATGCGTCCTCGAGATGCTGCAAGACCGCGTCGAAGACCTGCAGAGTTCTGGAGACGTGACTTTAAAACCCAAATTGCTTGCCACCCTGAGTGCTGCGGACGGACCCCTGGACTTACTACAGAAGCTGATGCAGGACATCATCGCGAAGCTAAACCCTCAGCATCGTCTAAGGAGACTAGCTCAACCCTTCACATGGCCCTTTACGAAGAAGGAAGTCGCTGAGACTTTGGATGCGTTGGAGAGACTCAAGTCCAATCTCAACCTGATCATTCAGGGTGAAGTGGTGTATGCTACGGCGCTCTTTTCGTCTGCTCTTCTCGCTGAAACACTGACCTCACGAGAACAGGGATTTGGTCAAACTGTCCAACCTCAAACTCGACCACGTCTCCGCACAAATAGGGAGCTTGGTCGGACGAGATGGTAATGACGAAGTCAAGAAGATCCTGGCGTGGATCAGCTCGATGTCGTTCCGCTCTAAGCAAGCCGAAATCTTGCAACGGGTCCAGCCAGGGACATGCCAATGGTTCTTTGACCATGAGACATACGCAGGTTGGAGAGATGGACAGATCAAGACGGTGTGGTGCCCTGGAATACGTAAGTGAACGTCTAAACCAACGTCAGCCATGCAGAACAGAAGATGCTAATGCCTATATCAGCTGGTGCGGGCAAGACCAGACTTGTGTGGGTATAGTCTTGCCTCTACCAGACTGCAGGTGCTCAAGCTGATGTGCAGTACATAGTTCGCTCGTGATTGATCGTCTCCAGAACGCTTCTTCAGGTGCCGCACTCGCATACATCTACTGCGACTTTCAAAATAGAGAGGCCCAGACGCCGCTCAACATACTTTCTAGCATTCTCGAGCAAGTAACCAGACACGCTGGTGGTGATGTTTTGCCACCGGTGTTGTTATCACTGTACGAAAGCCACAAGAAGTACGACACTCGACCTACCCTTACGGAGATCTCGGGTGTTCTTGGCACAATCTGCTCATCTCTCAAAGCGGTATGCATTGTCCTCGACGCTCTGGACGAATGCTGCGAGTCAGAGGACGAAGCTCTGAGTTTGGTATCAAGCATACTAGCCATTGGACCAACCGTACACCTACTGTGCACCTCGCGGTCCTCTACGACATTCGAAGCATTCTTCAAGGATACGCCGAGGATAGAGATATCGGCTCACGATGATGATATCCGGACGGTCGTCAACGCACACGTCACAACCCAGCCACGACTTCTCCGGCATGTTCAAGCAGACCCAACTTTGCAGGACGATATAGTCTTGTCCATCATTGAGGTGTCACAAGGAATGTTTCTTCTGGCGGCTCTGCATCTCGAGTCTCTTGGCAGGAAGATCAGTCGCAAAGAAGTCCGCGCTGCTCTAGGCGCGCTGCCAAGGACCCTGGATGTCACATATGAGCAGGCGTTGCATAGGATCCGTAGCCAGGCTGAAGAATTTGCCGACTTGGCGGAGAGCATTCTGTTCTGGGTCCTATGTGCTAGGGAACCCCTCACAATACATCAACTCCAGCATTTGTACGGCACTAGATCCTTAGCCCACGGTGAACAGCTCGAAGATGATGACCTGCCGGACGCCGAGACTCTCATGGCCGTATGTGGCGGTCTGATGATCCTTGATGGAAGCTGCCGGTCGGTTCGCCTTGTGCACTACACTGCGCAGGAATACTTTGAACGCGTTCACCAAGGCCGGATAATCAGCACAAAGTTCGACCTGACGAAGTCAAGTATCGCGTACTTGACCTTACCGAATTTCGCGAATGGGGTTTGCACATCCGACAAAGCCATGACAGCACGTCTGGACCGTTTCCCTCTCCTGACATACGCGGCAAGATACTGGGGCGCCGAGGCGGCCGCGGTTAACTGGGAGACTTTACGTGCCACCCTGACCGAGTTTACATCAAACCAAGTGGCAGTTAGTGTCGCCAATCAAGCACGACATCTTCCTCAGCACCGCAACGCACATTGGAGCCAGGAATTTCCCCGAAACGTGCCAGCTCTCGTGCTTGCGGCCTCCTTCGATCTACCCGACATCCTACGCAGGATGGTGGAGGACGGGCATGACATAGGAGGGCACGGGAGCGACAGGGAGACCCCGCTCATCAGAGCCGCTAGTCTAGGGCACGGCGGGAGCGTCACAACGTTGCTCGAATTCGGGGCATATGTTAATGCTACCGACGCTAACGGGGAGACCGCCTTGAGCAGAGCCGCGGCAGGCGCTAACAACATCGTGGTCAAGGCGCTGCTGGCTGGCGGCGCGGATGTCAACATCAAAGGTGCGGCAGGATGGACGGTGCTCATGTCGGCTGTCTCGAGCGGTAGCCTGGAATTAGTACAGAGAATCACGGAAGCCAGGGCCGATGTATCGGCCTGCACGGATTGGGGCGACTCAGCGCTCAGCCTTGCGACTCGCAGCGGACAAGAAGCCATTGCGCTTTACCTCGCTGATCAAGGCGCCAATCTGCCCAACAGTGTAGCGGGTCGGCGAACGTCCGTAGTCGCTGCACGGAAGGGATTTGCCACCCTCGTCCGTAGGCTGACGGCCAATTACGGTGCTCTTGCAGCCGAGCAGCTGCAACGGCAGGGCCATGTTCCCCAGCGAGAGCTAGCGATGATTGCAGAGGTAGATGAGCCTCAAGGAGACGACAGCTCAGATGTGAAAGTCCACCTGAGTGAAGTGCTTGACGGTCTTGACTACACCAGAGGCTTTCACAGAAGATACGACGTGGGCAAAAAGCTCGGCACAGGGCACAGTGCCAGGGTTCACGTCTGCGAGAGCAAGATCACTGGTGTACGCTACGCTGTGAAAATATTCGAAACCCGGCAACTCTACGGCCTAAGGGAAATTTATCGGAACGAGATCATATCCTTGAAGGTGGCAAAACACCCTAACATCGTCCGTCTTGTCGATGTCGTGGTTCAAGACGCGATGGATGAGTTGTTCATTGTCATGGAGCTGGCTCCGGAAGGCCAGCTGTTCGATTACATCGTTAACCACCAGAAGCTCAGTGAGGGTGAGGCCCGGAAGGTGTTCTCTCAGCTTTTCTCGGCCCTGGCATATCTGGTTCGTGATCCTCCTACTGCGCCCGTATCCAGGACATCAAGATGCTAAGTGTTGAATTATTACAGCACACCGAGGGTTGGGTCCATCGGGATATCAAACCAGAGAATATCGTCTTACTCGACCAAGATCTGAACATCAAACTCACCGACTTCGGGCTATGTACGAACCTGAAGGAGAAATCCAGCAGGGTCGGCAATATTGGCTTGGCGACGACGCTCTGTGGCACGCCGAATTGTAAGTTGAATGGCATGCGCGCCCATTTCTTGGAAACAGGAACTGACATTCCGCAGACGTTGCGCCCGAAATCCTGGCCGAAGCCAAGCTCCGTTCATACTCATGCCTGGTGGATGTGTGGTCTGCCGGCGTTGTTCTCTACGTCTGCCTCTGCGGCTTTCCGCCCTTCTCCGATGAGCTCTACAGCAAGAACTTTCCCTACACCCAAACGCAGCAGATTAAAGAAGGAAGATTCGACTATCCTTCACCATACTGGGATAGCGTTGGAGACCCGGCTTTGGACCTCATAGACTCCATGATTATGGTGGACCCGGAGAAGCGATTCACGGCGGATCAGTGTCTGAAACACGTTTGGATGACGACCCCTGCCTGACCTGCAAAATCAGAATCGAGGTGTGAGAGCTAGTTAACTCTCTGAACATGTCAGCGGCTGTATGCTCTAGTGAGACCAAAACAGCACACCAGAGAGGAAGGCGGAATCATCTATTCACATACTGTGGCCAGAGTTTGAACCAGTACTTTATATGTCCAGCAGACCCATCTTGAAGGCTCTCACCTTTTACTCCACGAAGCCAAGGTTGGCTATACCCCATCTGAAACGATACCCCGTGCATTGCTTAACAAACCGCGTGATACTAGCGAGAGATCATTAGGCCTAATCAGGGAAACAGGGGATTATGATATTTGAGGAATGGTTCGGAACGTGGATGTCTTTCCAACAAGTTTGTAAGAGTCAATGATTGGTTGACTCAACCCGAGTACAGAACAGTGGCTTGTTCTGAGTTGAACTCATGTTGCATGGTACTATAGTAATTGTCGTCGCTGTCATTCTCTGCCCTTGTGCTTGCGAACCCCTCCACATCCTCAAACTGGGTGTTTTGTAGAAGCGACATGAACCGCGATTTCATCCGTCTGAGCAAAAGCTTTGTGCTTCTGTCCTCAGGGAGGATCCCAGTGCTGACCCCGAAATCATAGAGCTTCTCGACATGCGTAATCATTTCCACGGCTTTGGAGTTGCGTCTGGTTGCCGACGAGTTAAGTGAGCGCTGAGCTTCACGCTGAAACTTGGTGTTGCCCTCACGTCTTTTGTGATGACGATGCTGCTGTGTTTAGACGAGTCAGAAGTGGTGTGTTAGCCAGTTGGGC